CAATGACGTCATTAACTTAGTTTCATAATAATTATAGGTATAGCCGAGCTCTATCGGGTGATAAACCAAATACTATGTCCCTTTAAACGTACTACAATTAAGTATGAAAAAATTAAACCTTTTTATTTCATTACGTCAGAAAAATGATCCAAATCACCACCTATTTACCATGTTCCTGAAGCAACGGTGTGCAAAGTTTATCACAATAAACGAAACTATAGAATGAAAAAGTATTCAACCAAACTATAGAATGAACAAGTATTCAGTCAAACTATAGAAAAAACAAGTATTCAGCCAAAGTGTATAATAAGCAAGTATTCGGCCAAACCATAGAATACACATGTATTCAGTCAAACCATAGAATAAACAAGTATTCAGTCAAACTATATAATAAACAAGTATTCAGCCAAACTATAGAATAAACCAGTATTCAGTCAAACTATAGAATAAACCAGTATTCAGCCAAACTATATAATAAACCAGTATTCAGCCAAACTATAGAATGAACATGTATTCAGTCAAATTATAGAATAAACAAATATTCAACCAAACTATAAAATAAACCAGTATTCAGTCAAACTATAGAATAAACCAGTATTCAGTCAAACTATAGAATAAACCAGTATTCAGCCAAACTATATAATAAACCAGTATTCAGCCAAACTATAGAATAAACATGTATTTTGTCAAACTATAGAATAAACAAATATTCAACCAAACTATAAAATAAACATGTATTCAGTCAAACCATAGAATAAACAAATATTCAACCAAACTTTAAAATAAACCAGTATTCAGTCAAACTATATAATAAACCAGTATTCAGCCAAACTATATAATAAACCAGTATTCAGCCAAACTATATAATAAACCAGTATTCAGCCAAACTATAGAATAAACCAGTATTCAGTCAAACTATAGAATAAACCAGTATTCAACCAAACTATAGAATAAACAAGTATTCAGTCAAACTATATAATGAACAAGTATTCAGCCAAACTATAGAATAAACAAGTATTCAACCAAACTATATAATAAACCAGTATTCAGTAAAACTATAGAATAAACAAGTATTACGCCAAACTATAAAATAAAGAAGTATTCAGTCAAACTATAGAATAAACATGTATTCAAACAAACAATAGAATAATCAAGTATTCAAACAAACTATTGAATAAACAAGTATTCAGTCAAATTATAGAATAAACAAGTATTCAGTCAAATTATAGAATAAACAAGTATTCAGTCAAACTATAGAATTAACAAGTATTCAGTCAAACTATAGAATTAACAAGTATTCAGTCAAACTATGGAATAAACAAGTATTCAGTCAAACTATAGAATAAACAAGTATTCAGTCAAACTATAGAATAAACAAGTATTTATCCAAACTATAACATGAATAAGTTTTCAATCAAACTATAGAATAAACAGGTATTCAGTCAAACTATAGAATAAACAAGTATTCAGTCAAACTATAGAATAAACAAGTATTCAGTCAAACTATAGAATAAACAAGTATTCAGTCAAACTATAGAATAAACAAGTATTTATCCAAACTATAACATGAATATGTTTTCAATCAAACTTTAGAATAAACAAGTATTCAGCCAAACTATAGAATAAAAAAAAAACAATGTGCTTATTATCAAGTAACGAAAACTATACATTTCTTAACAGACCTAATTTCTGTCATTGATAGTTCTGTTGGACGTAATCGATACCCAAAATTGAGCGACTGTCAGTTGAAACTTTAAAATGAAAAACGGATGAACCTTTACCCCAAATAGAAACCTGGGGGGAGGGGGACATGATTTCAAACCGTATAATTAACTCAAGATTCATACGTCTATATTAGCCTATAATGATAAGGAATTCTGCATTTTGTTGCAATGTTCACAACTTGTTCCTTGGCCATGTAGTATAGATATAATGGTCCGAATTATTTATCCGGATATAGATCTGGATCCTCTCCTCGATTTAACTTGGTTAATATGTGTCAGTCAAACCGTGGAATGTCTTGAAAAAGCATATTTAGTCCTAAATCTATAATTAGAACTAGGACTATCGGAGATTTATCAGATAGACTACAGTTAGGAGCATGATCACCAAAGGCACCAAATCGACATGAGAGCCAACTGTTTTTAAAGATGGCTTGCCAGGCAAGATAATAAACGCCCACTGGCAGATTTGATTTTAAATAAAAATATTTGGCAGTAGCCTACAGTAAGAATGATATATGATATATTCAACATTCAGACATACAATTTTTTTGAACTTTTTGAGTCGATACTGAATACTATTATCAAAAGCTGTCAAGAATTGGGCCTTCAAGACTGTTTACAAGCTAAAAATTGAACGCGTTTTCAATAACAAGGGAAATAATATTATTTTTCGATTTTTCTGATTTTTAATAGGGTTTATCCTTGGGTGATAACAAACACTCATGCCAAGTTTCGTCAAAATCCGTCAAGAATTGTGCCTTCTAGAGTGTTTACAAGCTAAAATTGAACGCGTTTTCAAGAACAAGGGCAATAACTTATACTAAATATTTTTCGATTTTTCTGATTTTCAATAAGGTTCATCTTTTGGTGATTACGAACTCTCATGCCAAGTTTCGTCAAAATCCATCAAGAATTGTCCCTTCTAGAGTGTTTACGAGCTAATAATTGAACGCGTTTTCAAGAACAAGGGCAATAACTTATACTAAATATTTTTCGATAATTCTGATTTTCAACAGGGTTCATCCTTGGGTGATTACAAACACTCATACCAAGTTTTGTCAAAATCCGTCAAGAATTGTGTCTTGTAGAGTGTTTACTAGCAATTGTGGGCGGACGGACGGTCATGGGTGACGACAATATACGCCCCCCCCCCCCACCCCCCCATTTCATGTGGGCGTATAAAAAGTGTTCTTACACCACCCCAATCCGACAGATCTATCGATCGGTCGCCCGTATGAGAATGATGGATGGAGTACAGAATCACAGATACGAACTAAAGCTATGTACCTGTAAATTTGATTAATCCCTGAAGAATACTCTGTCCCATACAGAGAAGGGTATATCAACAATCTGTGAGATAGTTTATGTTTTTCTGTGTGAATCAGGAACAATCACATGAGTAAAACATCTATAAAGCGTCCTGCTCCTCTGCAGGTGTGGCGATCATCAAGAAGAATCACAGAAGACACATGCAGATGGAGCCTTAAGATATCGATATCATCGCTCTTCACTATAAGGAAGCACTGACAGAAGAAGAACTCCACAAGAGAAGAACTCTACAGATGACGCACCTCAAAAGAAGAATAATCGGAAAAAACCACGGGAGCAAATCGCTCCTTAAGAAATGTCTGTGATATGTATTTTTTTCCTCACCGAAGCAGATAGCATCCACAACCAGTAGTTGTAATTAAACTTTTAAACGAATATGAAATTCATTTTTCTTCGTACTCTGATAATTTTTGTTTTCAGTGTATTTTTTTGGAAAGGGCATAGACCTAAGCTTTAGGATCTGATTTGTTGTTAGTAAAAGCCAAGACTACTAAAACAATTTGAATGTCGAGTCGGGTCCTGTTTCATATTATATAAGAATAAACATTCTGTTAATAGTTTTAAACAGGAATGAAGGAGCCTGGTATTCCTAAACCCATACAATAGCCATATTACACCTCCTTAAACATATCTTACCCGTAATCACAATTAATCAAAAAATAAAATAAAAGGCGAATAATTCGAAAAGAAAACAGTAAACGGTTTCTATTCCTTCCTGTTACTTGCACCTTAAAATGTTTAATTTTTTCATTTATTTTTTTGGCAAGTCATTATTCCTATAATAAACCTATAGGATACAACATGGTCGTTGGTTTTTATGAATAGAAACCCCTTTATCGAAACTTACGAACCGACTCATTTGCCTTTTTTCTTTGTAAATCAATAAGGGGCATAACTCGTTATTTAGGACTAGGCGACCAGTGAGCTACACTTACTATATTCTATGAAATTGAAACTTCGTATATATAGAAGAGAAGGTTAACTTGTAATCTACCTACAGAGATGAAAATATGTCTCTAATACAAAAGTAACCGCAAGATACTGAAACAACTCCATTAGTCTGAGTCTGTTCCAATAAACACAATCGCAATGATCGAGACATTAAACTCGAACACAATTTGACAGTAACAGTCAATTCGTAATTCGTTAGTCCAAAACATTCTAATGGAAAGGCTTTCTCCAGCTAAGTATTTAAAACCTTGATCAATTCTGCCGCCGGTGACAGTGAGCTACACTTACGATTTGAATAGAGTTTTGAGAGTCAGTTTTACTTTAGATGATATCCGCTGGGTCCTTGGAATTTTATATATATTTTATATGAAAGATATTCCCAAGTAAAATCCCACCAGAGCAATAGGATGTAATCCATAGAGGTTTATCAAATTTAACAACGTCTCAAACCAGATATGGTTGATTAAATTTACATGAGAAACAAATCATATACGTATACATAATCCAACCTGCAAACTAGGACCACGTTAAAATATCATATCTTATGGTTTATTATGAACTACAAATCAGCGAAGATATCCGATTATATGGCTTTACATCATACGTCAAAAAGAGGACCTGATTATTCAAAAGTCTTTGATTCGATCTTCAGACACAGAATTAAAGGTATATGAAAGAAAGCCCAAGGGCCAGATTAGATACTCCACGTCATGAATACTTATGTTAATTTGATCTTAGAAAATTGCCAAGGAACTAGTTGAGATTAAAAGGTATTTCCCATGATATTTGAGTTTTGATTCATATATATGAATCTGCCCTCTTGTTGATATGGGATATTGTTTGTAACATGTTCTCTAGTTGGGATATTGTTTGTAACGTTTTCTAGTTTGATGGAGGATATTGTTTGTAGCATGTTCTCTTGTTAGGATATTGTTTGCAACATGTTCTCTAGTTAGGATATTATTGTTAACATGTTCTCTAGTTGGAATATTGTTGGTAACATGTTCTCTAGTTAGGATATTCTTCGCAACATGTTCTCTAGTTAGGATATTATTGTTAACATGTTCTCTAGTTGGAATATTGTTGGTAACATGTTCTCTAGTCAGGATATTCTTGTTAACATGTTCTCTAGTTGGAATATTGTTGGTAACATGTTCTCTAGTTAGGATATTATTGTTAACATGTTCTCTAGTTGGAATATTGTTGGTAACATGTTCTCTAGTTAGGATATTCTTCGCAACATGTTCTCTAGTTAGGATATTATTGTCAACATGTTCTCTAGTTAGGATATTCTTCGCAACATGTTCTCTAGTTAGGATATTCTTCGCAACATGTTCTCTAGTTAGGATATTATTGTTAACATGTTCTCTAGTTAGGATATTCTTGGCAACATGTTCTCTAGTTAGGATATTCTTCGCAACATGTTCTCTAGTTAGGATATTCTTCGCAACATGTTCTCTAGTTAGGATATTATTGTTAACATGTTCTCTAGTTGGAATATTATTGGTAACATGTTCTCTAGTTAGGATATTATTCGCAACATGTTCTCTAGTTAGGATATTATTGTTAACATGTTCTCTAGTTAGGATATTCTTGGTAACATGTTCTCTAGTTAGGATATTCTTCGCAACATGTTCTCTAGTTAGGATATTATTGTTAACATGTTCTCTAGTTAGGATATTCTTCGCAACATGTTCTCTAGTTAGGATATTCTTCGCAACATGTTCTCTAGTTAGGATATTCTTCGCAACATGTTCTCTAGTTAGGATATTATTGTTAACATGTTCTCTAGTTGGAATATTATTGGTAACATGTTCTCTAGTTAGGATATTCTTCGCAACATGTTCTCTAGTTAGGATATTATTGGTAACATGTTCTCTAGTTGGGATATTGTTTGTAACATGTTCTCTATTTTGGATATTGTTTGTAACATGTTCTCTAGTTGGGATATTGTTTGTAACATGTTCTCTATTTTGGATATTGTTTGTAACATGTTCTCTAGTTGGGATATTGTTTGTAACATGTTCTCTATTTTGGATATTGTTTGTAACATGTTCTCTAGTTGGAATATCGTTTGTAACATGCTGTCTATTTTGGATATTGTTTGCAACATGTTCTCTAGTTGGGATATTGTTTGCAACATGTTTTCCAGTTGTTTGAACATATTGTTTGCAACATTTTCCAGTTGTTTGAACATATTGCCTGTTTTGTTTTCCAGTTGTTTGAACATATTGCCTGTTTTATTTTCTCAGAATGGTTTGAGGTATTGCCTTGATCTATATTTTCAAGATGGTTTGTAAAATGTTCTCTACTTGGCATATTGTTTGTAACATGCTCTCTAGTTGGGATATTATTTGTAACATGTTCCGTAGTTGTTTTGAAATATTGCCTGTATTATGTTCTTTAGTTTGTTTAGGATATTGCCTGTTTCAACCATCTCAAGATGGTTGTTTATAACATGTTCTCTAGTTCTTTTGGGATATTGTTTGGAACATATTCTCTAGTTGTTTTGGAATGTTGTTTGTAACATGTTCTCTAGTTGGGATAGTGTTTGTGATATGTTCTCTAGTTGGGATATCATTGGTAACATGTTCTCAAGTTAGGATATTATTGGATATTATTGTTTGTGTAATGTTCTTTAGTTTGTTTAGGATATTTCCTGTTTTATGTTCTCAAGATGGTTAGGATTATTGATATCATGTTCTCAAGTTGGGATATTATTGGTATCATGTTATCCAGTTGTTTTGTAAATGTCCTATAGTTGTTTTGGAAGATTTTGTTAAATTTTCCCTAGTTGTTTTGTGATATTGTTTTTAACATGTTATCCAGTTGTTTTGAGATGTTGTTTGTAACATGTTCTCTTGTTGGGATATTGTTTGTAATATGTTCTCTAGTTGGGATATTGTTTGTAACATGTTCTCAAGTGGCTTTGATGTATTGTCAGTGTCCCAAAACAAATATACATGTATATGGAACATGTTACACAGACAATACACCAAACCAATTAGAGAACACGTTACAATATATATAAAATTGACCGTTAAAAAGCAATGGCCAAATAACGCTTAAAGAGACAAATACTACAGCGGTGTATAGTTTGTTTGAGGTATTGACTGTTTTATGTTCTTTACAACTGAAAGAGACTAACAGTTTGTGTTATTTATACTTTATATTTAATCTTTCGATGAAATGTCTTATTTTAGATTGTGGCTCGAGGGAAGTTAAACAATTACCTACATCTCCTTATTATCAAAACAAAATAATCAGATTTCTTAACCTGACCGACTTCTTCCTGTCTCCTCTAGGCCAAGTTAACTTGAATAATATGCTATCAAGAGCAATTTTGAGAAGCAATTTTATAAGTAAGAACTGACAGCTTTCAACTCAAAAGCAGGTGCAACACAAGGAAGACAAAACGACCAAGTGTTTGTAAGAATAAAAAAAACTATTATTAAATATCTAAGCTCAACATTTTATTTAGTCATGTATGTTTTAACAATGCATGATTCCATGTATCAATAAAATACAGTCAGGTATGATTCTTGGTATCAGTAAAATACAGTCAGGTATGATTCTTGGTATCAGTAAAATACAGTCAGGCATGATTCCATGTATCAATAAAATACAGTCAGGTATGATTCTTGGTATCAGTAAAATACAGTCAGGTATGATTCTTGGTATCAGTAAAATACAGTCAGGTATGATTCTTGGTATCAGTAAAATACAGTCAGGTATGATTCTTGGTATCAGTAAAATACAGTCAGGTATGATTCATGGTATCAGTAAAATACAGTCAGGTATGATTCTTGGTATCAGTAAAATAGAGTTAGGTATGATTCTTGGTATCAGTAAAATACAGTCAGGTATGATTCAGGTATCAGTAAAATACAGTCAGGTATGATTCTTGGTATCAGTAAAATACAGTTAGGTATGATTCTTGGTATCAGTAAAATGGTGTCAGGTATAATTCTAGGTATCAGTAAAATAGAGTCAGGCATGATTCTAGGTATCAGTAAAATACAGTCACGTATGATTCCATGTATCAATAAAATACGGTCAGGTATGATTCCATGTGTAATACAGTGAAGTATGATTCTTGGTATCAGTAAAATACAGTCAGGTATGATTCTTGGTATCAGTAAAATACAGTTAGATATGATTCTTGGTATCAGTAAAATACAGTTAGATATGATTCTTGGTATCAGTAAAATACAGTTAGGTATGATTCTTGGTATCAGTAAAATACAGTTAGATATGATTCTTGGTATCAGTAAAATACAGTCAGGTATGATTCTTGGTATCAGTAAAATACAGTTAGGTATGATTCTTGGTATCAGTAAAATACAGTCAGGTATGTTTCGAGGTATCAGTAAAATAGAGTTGGGTATGATTCCATGTATCAATAAAATACAGTCAGGTATGATTCTTGGTATCAGTAAAATACAGTCAGGTATGATTCGAGGTATCAATAAAATAGAGTTGGGTATGATTCTTTGTATCAATAAAATACAGTTAGGTATGATTCTTGGTATCAGTAAAATACAGTCAAGTATGATTCTTGGTATCAGTAAAATACAGTCAGGTATGATTCTAGGTATCAATAAAATAGAGTTGGGTATGATTCCATGTATCAATAAAATACAGTCAGGTATGATTCTTGGTATCAGTAAAATACAGTCAGGTATGATTCGAGGTATCAATAAAATAGAGTTGGGTATGATTCTTGGTATCAGTAAAATACAGTTAGGTATGATTCTTGGTATCAGTAAAATACAGACAAGTATGATTCTTGGTATCAGTAAAATACAGTCAAGTATGATTCTTGGTATCAGTAAAATACAGTCAGGTATGATTCTTGGTATCAGTAAAATACAGTCAGGTATGATTCGAGGTATCAATAAAATAGAGTTGGGTATGATTCTTGGTATCAGTAAAATACAGTCAGGTATGAGTCTAGGTATCAGTAAAATACAGTCAGGTATAATTCGAGGCATCAGTAAAATACAGTCAGGTATAATTCTAGGTATCAGTAAAATACAGTCAAGTATGATTCTTGGTATCAGTAAAATACAGTCAGGTATAATTCGAGGTATCAGTAAAATAGAGTCAGGTATAATTCTTGGTATCAGTAAAATACAGTCAGGTATAATTCGAGGCATCAGTAAAATACAGTCAGGTATAATTCTAGATATCAGTAAAATACAGTCAAGTATGATTCTTGGTATCAGTAAAATACAGTCAGGTATAATTCGAGGTATCAGTAAAATAGAGTCAGGTATAATTCTTGGTATCAGTAAAATAGAGTCAGGTATAATTCGAGGTATCAGTAAAATAGAGTCAGGTATAATTCTTGGTATCAGTAAAATACAGTCAGGTATAATTCGAGGTATCAGTAAAATAGAATCAGGCATGATTCTTGGTATCAGTAAAATGGTGTCAGGTATAATTCTAGGTATCAGTAAAATACAGTCAGGTATAATTCGAGGTATCAGTAAAATACAGTCAGGTATGATTCTTGGTATCAGTAAAATACAGTCAGGTATAATTCGAGGTATCAGTAAAATACAGTCAGGTATAATTCGAGGTATCAGTAAAATACAGTCAGGTATGATTCTTGGTATCAGTAAAATACAGTCAGGTATGATTCTTGGTATCAGTAAAATACAGTCAGGTATGATTCTTGGTATCAGTAAAATACAGTCAGGTATAATTCTTGGTATCAGTAAAATACAGTCAGGTATGATTCTTGGTATCAATAAAATACAGTCAGGTATAATTCGAGGTATCAGTAAAATACAGTCAGGTATAATTCTTGGTATCAGTAAAATACAGTCAGGTATAATTCTAGGTATCAGTAAAATACAGTCAGGTATGATTCTTGGTATCAGTAAAATACAGTCAGGTATAATTCTAGATATCAGTAAAATACAGTACAGTCAGGTATGATTCCATGTATCAATAAAATACGGTCAGGTATAATTCCATGTATAATACAGTGAAGTATGATTCTTGGTATCAGTAAAATAAAGTCAGGTATGATTCGAGGTATCAGTAAAATAGAGTTAGGTATAATTCTTGGTATCAGTAAAATACAGTCAGGTATGATTCTTGGTATCAGTAAAATAGTTAGGTATAATTCTAGGTATCAGTAAAATACAGTACAGTCAGGTATAATTCCATGTATAATACAGCGAAGTATGATTCTTGGTATCAGTAAAATAGAGTCAGGTATAATTCGAGGTATCAGTAAAATACAGTCAGGTATAATTCGAGGTATCAGTAAAATACAGTCAGGTATAATTCTTGGTATCAGTAAAATACAGTCAGGTATGATTCTTGGTATCAGTAAAATACAGTCAGGTATGATTCGTGGTATCAGTAAAATACAGTCAGGTATGATTCTTGGTATAAGTAAAATACGGTCAGGTATGATTCTTGGTATCAGTAAAATAGAGTCAGGCATGATTCTAGGTATCAGTAAAATAAAGTCAGGCATGATTCTAGGTATCAGTAAAATACAGTCAGGTATAATTCTAGGTATCAGTAAAATACAGTCAGGCATGATTCTAGGTATCAGTCAAATACAGTCGGGGTATGATTCGAGGTATCAGTAAAATAGAATCAGGCATGATTCTTGGTATCAGTAAAATGGTGTCAGGTATAATTCTAGGTATCAGTAAAATAGAGTCAGGTATGATTCTAGGTATCAGTAAAATACAGTCAGGTTTTTTTTTTTCGAACGGTTCATCCATGGGTGATAATAAAAAATTTCACCAAGTTTCTTCCAAATTTGTCAAGAATTGTGCCTTGTAGAATGTTTACAAGATAGAAATTGAAAGAGTTTCAAAGAACAAGGGCAATGACTCATACTAAATTTTTTTTCGACTCTTCTGATTTTCAACGGGGTTCCTCCTTGGGCGATTACGAACACTCACACCAAGTTTTGTCAAAATCCGTCAAGAATTGTGGATGGACCAATAGACGATTTCATGTAGGCATATAAAAGCGTAATCATGAAAGCTTAACAATTTGCATTTAACATATCAAACTATTCAAATTTTTGTAACTCCAAAACCACCATCAACCATATGCTTACGAGCAATTGTGGATGGACGGACCGACCCCCAATATACTCCCCCCATTTCATGTGGGTGTATAAAAATGGTGACTCGTAATCTTAAGGAATTATGCATTTTTTGTACATTTTTAGTACTTCTGAAGACTATTTACATAATTTAAGACAAAAAAAAAATCAAAGAAGTTAGAATTTTAACCAAAATTCAGTTCAAACAGTTAGTGACAAAATTTTCGAATCAGGATTTTCTGAAATTGCAGTCTGCTTGGAAGTTCTTTCAAGAATATACAATAAAAAATGGTGGCAAATTGAACAAAAAATAAGCATTTAATTGTGGATTTCTGAAATTAATGAGTTTTCTGTTTAGAATCTGGACATATTTTTAAAAGGTAATTCCCAGTTTGGAATGTCTGACCAAAAGTATTGTAAGTATTACTGTTTTGGCGAGGTACTCTGACGACAAAATGAACAAAAAAAACAATAACTAAAAAATTAACTAAACAGCTTCGAGTTCAACTCAAAAGCTGTAAAAAAAGAAATAAATAGAATTAGAAAAGAAAGAGACCAATACAGTTCGAGCTAAACTTGAAGGCTGCAAATGAAGGATTTTCTTTGAACTGGGGGCAGAACTATGTTGATCAGAGTTAAAGGTTGATTTACTTTAAAATTCTACACATCAGTTCAAAAGACTGTCACAACAACAAGAATAAATGGAGAAATGCAGTGATGGGTATTATAATTACTTGATACTTAATACTTCAATGATTTCCATTACAAGATACAGTTTACATGTAGAGGATAATTATTAGATTAAACAAGCGTAATGTAAACAAAAGGACAGAGCTTTAGATATTACCATAGGAACCAATTTCTTTTACAAACTGATAAAATATTGTACATAGGAAGTTCACAAGGTGATGGATTAGTTTACCTATTAGTTTTAAATCTTGGTCCTTACACCGTGGATGTAGCTAATAATGTCTCCTTGCAGCAAACTATTACAGTTGGTAATGAATGAAGCAAATGGAAGTAAAAATATAATTTAAGTAGTGCTGTAAAATACACAATTTAATCACAGATAAAAATAAATTGAAATAAAAATAATTGGCTCAATAAAATAGTTTTTGATTATTAGAACCCTGTAAAAAAAATTACGGAACATAAATATATATAATAATGTAATAAAATAATCAGGGGAAAAAGTAAAATTTGAAATAATAAAGTGATTGTTATCACCAAAACCATTTCATATCAATATCTTAAAGATGACTTTCAAGGTCTTAGGTGTACCATGTTACTGTGAAATTTTGGTCAAACACAAATAGTTTACAATATTTTGTGTTAAGTGTCTTTAATATAATGTGGTTTTAAAACACCATGTTCATAACATTGTTCTACCTTGAGAGGGTAAGTACACATGTCTAGACAACTGAACTATACTATACTAAATTGTCGTGAACTACATAAAGATAATTATATGAAAGATATGGAGAGCTTAAACATTGCCAATATGTGATATCACAGTGTCAGAAAAATGTCAGAAAGAGATGTGGACATACAAAAAGCCATGGATGGATATAAAACTTAAGTGTATTCTTGATAACAAGCCAATATAATAGTCTCAGAATAACAAAAAATATCCAATGTTAAATACATTAAATACATTATATGATAGTACACGATTGACCTTTTTTAAAATTCATAATTATAGCTCTCAGTAGAAATTGTTTATCTGTATCTGTCAGTTCTCAGAACAATATTTATTACGAATCCATGAATTCAATTATCATTGCCTTGATACACAACCACTTTAAATAGGCCTTTGGTCACACGACTTGAAGATGTACTTAGCCTTGTTTTCAAATATCAATGTTCACTTCAGGCAATTGGCATGACAGGAAGAATAAATCGTAATAAAGGATGTAAACATTAAGAAAACAAACCTCTTCCAATTAATGTGAAAGTCATTTATGCAATAGTGTCATGCAAACAGTTGCTGTTTTATTACATAAATCAAACTGACTATATGTAACTACAAGTTATAAGGTAATTTGTGAGGCAAGGTAATATACGCCCACTGGCAGTTGTGATTTTGAATAAAGTAACAATCACGTTTAAGAAATATTCCACCTTCAGTCATACACTTTTTACACTTCTTCAAGCCTTATAGTGTTACCGATAGGTCAATAACTCATATAAAATATTTTTTGATTTTTTACTTTCATAAGGGTTTATCCATTGGTGACAATCAATAATTTCACCAAGTTTCGTCAAAATCCGTCAAGAATTGTGATTACAAGCTAAAAATTGAAAACAGTTAAGGAACAAAGGCAACAACTCATATGAAATATTGTTTGATTTAGGGCTACAAACACTCACAAGTTTTGTCAACATCCTTCAAGAATGATGCGTTCTATAGCAAAAATGTGTTTTCAAGAACAAGGGCATAACTCATACTAAATATTTTTTTGATTTTCCTGATTTTCGATAGGGTTCATAAAAAACAGTCACACTACGTTTCGTCAAAATGTTACCGATAGGTCAATAACTCATATAAAATATTTTTTGATTTTTTACTTTCATAAGGGTTTATCCATTGGTGACAATCAATAATTTCACCAAGTTTCGTCAAAATCCGTCAAGAATTGTGATTACAAGCTAAAAATTGAAAACAGTTAAGGAACAAAGGCAACAACTCATATGAAATATTGTTTGATTTAGGGCTACAAACACTCACAAGTTTTGTCAACATCCTTCAAGAATGATGCGTTCTATAGCAAAAACGTGTTTTCAAGAACAAGGGCATAACTCATACTAAATATTTTTTTGATTTTCCTGATTTTCGATAGGGTTCATAAAAAACAGTCACACTACGTTTCGTCAAAATCTATCAAGAATTGTGCTTTCTATAGTGTTTACGAGCTAAAAACAGGAAAATAACTCATACTAAATATTTTTCAATTTTGCTGATTTTCAATAGGGTTCATCCTTATTACAAACATTACACCAAGTTTCATCAAAATCTGTCGGAAATTGTGCCTTCTAGAGTGTTTATGAGGAATTGTCGACAGACGATTTGACATGGGTGATGCCAATATATGTCCCCATGTCATTTGGGCGTTTAAAAATTAATGCTGTCCCTTTACAGCTGGACAAACAAACAGAAGGGCTTAATTGTTAGTGTGTTTACATGCTGAATGACTTTAACAAAGATTCTAAAAATCTTCTTTTTAAGATAAGAAGTCCATGTTCGTGTAGAATACAAACGATCAATCTGACCTAAACTTCACTAAAAATCACAGGATTTAACTACCAGCAAATCCAATTCTCTCTACAGGTAGCTTATATTATATAAACTATGCTTAACATCATGAATCGTAGAATTCTTTCTTTTGTACAATAACTGATATCTGATTTTGGGAGGAATGTTGATATAAGATTGATTTATAATACCTTGGTATACATATGTATAAATATGATCTCTGTGCTTTAAAAAACATGTAGATATATAAGAAGGTGATAAACGGTACATAGTTCAATTATTGTATGGGTATACTGGTAAATATATAATAGACCTTCTGGCTTCTCTCAAGGGGAAATTGAGATAAGGTTTCACAAGTCGTTGAAAAATGTCTGGTTGCCAAAAAAATATATAAACAGCCCTACTCCAATAGTACTAATTATGAACATATTTCTTTTGTGTGGTCACATTCTACTGTATAACTGTTGTTGACAGGTTGAGTTTATTATCAAAGATATGCCTAGGTTTTAGTTCAAAAACACAAATAACTTAACTAATTAAATCACAGATCTGGATGCTTTGTTCTTATTTTTTCTGTGGTGAATTATTGTCATTCATAATATGACAACATTGTTATTCAACACACATTTTCGGTCTTCAAGGTATTCCAAAGGCCATTTTTTGAAAAGTTAGCATAAATTATTAAAATATGTAATGATGTATGGTAAAAATAGGACACAATTTAAAGATCAAAGACAACAAGTATAGTAACAAAAAAACTAGATTTGTATTTGGATAATTTAGATAATAAACTTAAACATGTTTTTTCAAATCTGAATCGGAGCTATTTATACTATCAGCAGTTGCAGATGAGCTTGTATCAAATCCATGGGTGGTTTCCATCTTTTTCAGTTTTTCTAAAGTTGTTAAGGTTGGTAGATTACTTAAATCATCCTCGGAATTCATCAATGATAAACCTTGAAAAAGATATAAGATAGCTTGCAAGGCAAGGTAACATACACCCACTACCAGCTGTCAGAAATGATAACAAAACTTTAGTGGCTTAATAATGAATTTTCAAATAATCTTTAAATCATCTAAAAGTCAAGGCAAAAACGTGTATTATATTTGTGTATATATATAACTTCTTGTACCATATTTCCTCACTTCACCTGAAGATGATAATGTAGATTGTTGAAACGTTGTGTGTAATAAAACTAAGGAGTAGTATACCATAAAATTGATTATTATCAATTTTGAACTTGACAGATCTCGCCAATACATACGTGCATACCAAGTTTCATGAAGATCAGATAAAAACTGTAGCCTCTATCGTGACTAAAAGAAATGTGGACGGACGGACAGGGGCGAAGGCAATATACGTCCACATTTCCAGGTGGGCGTATAAAAATAATATATGGCCATCCAAGACAATTTGAACATATATGGTAGTCTCTACCTTATCAAAAGTTTTGGGTCAACTGAAATCACGAAAAAAAAAAAAAAAGACCAAGGGGCGGGGTTGGGTTGCCAAATCTGGACCAGCCTCTTTTCTGGGGCCCCCCATACATACTTTAGACAATGGTTTTAAAGATAATATAATTGATGTCTGGCAGTTCACTATATGGATTAATGTAGTAAGTGAACACCTGGTATCACAGACTGAAACTGACTGTATTAAAAATAAATTCATTACCTTGATCAGCCATATCCCAAGTTTCTCTATCAGCAGGATGTTCTCGAATGTATTCCAATATTTTATTTAACTTCATATCAATAGCCTGTATCCTGCAATGAAAAATAAAACTTGCTGAAATTAGGCTTGGAGTAATTTTGAGGGGAATTCAATGGAAAGCTATTATTCCCTGTTGAAAAAGTCTGTATTCATATTTATTCCCATCCCAAGCCAAAATTTTATGACGTATATATGTTTTTATTAATATTAATGTAAAGAGTATAGACTTACTTAAGAGACCTAGTTTCAAGAGTCAAGAAAATAATTCGAGCTACAACTCTCTGTTGTACAGGATTCTCACTTCTAGCAAATAATCCTAAACTTTCTTTAATACTTGTATTATTTAACAACTGTTCACAAGTCTACAAAATGACACAAAATGGTTCACATATCACATGGGTAGTTTTAATACCATTCCATTTATTCTAAGTTTGAAACCAAATTATTTAAGACTTTCATTTTACAATTTCATATCATTTTAATAACAACAATTTGTTCTCAATGTGTTAAATTTATCATTCAAGCAAAATTTGAGTCTAATGAAAGAAATTTTTCATTAAATTTTACACAAATAAAATTGTAATGTTTTAACAGAAAGTCTAAATCAAATGACATCACGTTTGGTGATATGTATATGAACTTACTTCAATATTCTCAGTAAAATACATCAATATTTTTGCAGCCAATAAATAAAGTTTCTCATCCAAAGTTTTTAAAGGAATGTCCAATAAAATTTCTATAAGATTATCCTGAAATTTTCATTTAAATTACACTTTAATTTAAAGGGTATAAAGTGTGGTAGGACAAATTTAAGTGCATAATTTCACAATAAGTTTTAACATAATGTCAAATTAGCTCTAATATATACTTTTCACTTGTCTGATCTAGAGAGAATATAAAAATCCAATTAAAGACAGTTTCATGCAGCCATGTATGCTTAGAGATTAATTTTGAGTCACCAGTTTGGCAGGGTTTAGTTTAGATTGAAAAATTTAATGAGCAATCTATCACTCTAAATTTTAGTTTTGACTAATCAAGATAAATTTTGATTCACATTTCTTCAATTTAAAATGTTCCATTAAAAAACCTTCTAATATACAATTTGAATTGATTCGTGGATCGTTGCGTTAATTTTAAATTTGGCCTAAAATAGGAAATATTGATCGCAAAAGAAATCATTTTGAATCGCAAACTGTAATGCGATGTCGCTTGAACCCTGCAGTTTGGTTATTATCAAAGTTACTCACCTATTAATAAATAATTGGAACAAATAGGCCTACCTGAGAACAAACTAAATCACAATTCTCAATTGCCATTAATTCTAGAGACTGCAGAGCAAATCTTTTAGTGTCCAGATCTTGACTTTTACAAAGCTCTGTCAAAACTTCAACTGTAAAATATAGTGAGATAATGACTTGAGTATTGCCCACAATTATCTTATATTATCTTGTAATTAAACAAGAAATAACTTTAGTTTGTAAATCAAATTTAACAGATTATCTTGTGGTGAAAGGGAAGAGCCAAAATTAGACTTTCCTGTTGAAATTTCTAAGAAAGTAGTGTGTTTATTTCAAATATAAGCCTAGAAACCTTAACATTTCCAAACAAATTAAGTTTTTGAAGCTGAGATTCCAATATATTTAAAATATATCTGTAAATATGTTATATGTGAAGGAAATTTACTTAAATGGGTCAGATATTTACACTTTGCATCCCCATAAGTTTATTCTGACTATTGGGCTAAAGGTCTAAATTTGACAGGATTTGACTAGTTATGGGAATAATAGTAGGGAACATTATATTTGCAAATGTTTGTGTATTGTTTTGTTATTCAAACTCTACTATTAAGAATAACTGTGGGGTGGGTTGCACAATTTATTCTGGAAGCTTAAAATGCTGATTTCAGAGTATTAAGATCATTGTGGTCCAAAGCATTAGTAATTTCAAGGGCTGCAGACAAGATTTGGCGGCTCAGTTTTGTTTAGTTCCAGCTGTGATTGATGACCAATTGTTAGCTCACTCTGAATGAGAAACAAATATAATAGATTGTGATTGTGACATGTCACATTGTTTAAAAAAACATATTCATATAATCAAATACATAAAAACATGAGCTACACGTACCTAATGTATTAGTTGATGACAATTGAGCTCTAATTTCACTATTAAATGTTAGTTCTAACAATATACCAGCAATAACACGTTGACATGTGACTTTACCTTCACGACCAGCATGGGCTAAATCTTCTATGCTATAGGTAATTTAAAATACTTAATTAATATGTCTTATCACATACAAAAAATAAAGAGCCACCATTTAACCTAAACTGTAGTACAATGCAACTGATTTTGTGCTTTTTGCTTAACTGTACTCTAAAATGTTCAAACAACTTACTCAACCATATCATTTACAACTTGGGTTTGTGCAAGTCGGGGTGTCGTACTCGGTATAGAGGCCTGTTGTCGCAGCAATGCGTTGACAAAAACTCAATTGAAATATATGTGAAACTTGAATGAATCACATAATAGTTTTAATTTTTGTTCATTATGGCAAGAAAAAAACAAATAGGGTAACGCAAAGAGCTGCTGGTCTTCTTTTGGTTTTTTCCAAAAAAAAACATCCTCATTTTATGTGCTAATGTAAAATTGTGAAATTAAACATCCTCTATTACACTTTCATTTAGTTTTAGTGATTTCTACTTTGGAACTGCAGCATTAACAATATCAAACTTACCCATGACCTTGAATAAGGGCCTGTTTGTTGTCTTCTGATTCTGACACAATGGTATAAAGAGCGTTAGCTGCTTCGTACATGACTCTCTGGTTTGGAGAATTCAGTGCTGTTAATAATGAACGACACCCTCCAGACCTTAGAAATATTTCCTAGAAAATGAAGATGTACATGTTTAATACATAATACAACTAATAGCTTGCCAGGCAATTTAGAAAGAAGCCCCAGCTAATTTCACCAAGTTACATAGTTATACTGAGTCTAATATATCACATGCAACTGTCTTTGAGGTAGTGGGCCTTTGTGCCCTTGAAACATTTTAGACTTTAGGACTACATTAGCTTTTTAAAAGCAGGTTTTGACTGTTTAACCATATGTTGTACTACAGGGTATCCAACTATTAGGATAAACTAAACTGGAAAACTAAATAATTGGTGAAAGACTTGGGAGTCTTGTATTTTATTGCCTAACCTAACACTGTTGATATCTATCAAGTTACCTATGATAATCAGACTGTTTATTTACCTACCTGTATTGAGGGTACAATTAATAGTTCACCCAATGCTTCTAAAGAACTCTCTTGTGTTGAAGAATCCTTATTTAATGTTAGAGTTTCCAATACTTGTAGACTACAAAAAAGTCAAGTCGAATGACTTATTTCATTTGAAATTGACTGAAGTGTGAAAAAGATGTCAACAAAAATATGAAAATTAGCTCAAGGAACTACTGTTACCAGTTGAGATAACAATAATAATAATAATAGGAATGGGAAAATATTCTTATTGTGAATTTAAGAAAATTATAAATTTTATAACTCACCCTCCTTCAGCTGCTATTAATAGCTTATTTTCATTACTTGAAGCTGCCAGAGTGGCCAAGTCATAGGCTGCTTGTCTTCTTTCTTTCATCCTACAGAATGTAAGTATTCAATGACAATAATAAGCCTATACAAACAGACTTAGATACATCTTAACATTGATATTAATATCATTTATATACAAAAACATACTTAGATAGATCAAATGATTTTTCATCTTAATGTACAATTTTGTTACCAATGTTAAAATAATATCATGAAAGAGGCTGGGAAATTTTAAAAAAAATGCTCTAAATAGAATCGTGACTTAAGAAAACAGGTTATAAGAATCATTCATGTCCTATAAAAAGAAAGAGTATGAAGAATTACCTTCCAGTTCGAGCAATAATAACAACCTTTTCTATATCTTTCTCTTGAACCAAATATTTCTCAATAAAATCTCCAGTCTGTAATAATGAATCCCAAAGTTTTTATTTGAAATTAATCTTAAAGAAAGGTCTCTTACCACACAACTGGTCAAATTGGTTTTAACAAAAGCTCCATAACAATTAGTACTACTAAAATGTTTCCTTAATGTATCATTTTCACTCATTCTCTAAGCTACTCCGGAATATCTAATGACAAACGCTACAGAGAATGGTTTTGGACACCATGGCAGTTTTCAGCAACTTAGTCAGAATGCCACTAACCTCCACTCTAAAGTTCACTAAAAGTAAACACACAATGACTGTAGATATTATAAGCAACACTGAATGAATTGTATATAATACGGCAGAAAAGACTTGACGATGGGAACAATCATCAACAAACATCCAGTCTTTACAACCATGATTCTGTAAAATAATATTATCATAAAATGTGAAAATGAAAGTCAATACATTCACAAACATTAGTGAAAACTTTTTTCCCATAGATAAGTGAATAAGTGAATCTGATCTGAGTAGAAGATATTATAATAACTTTTGAAGATGTGAATTTATTTAAGGAAAATTTATTTACCACAATTGTTGTCCAGGTTATAATTGAGAAATATAATGCTATAGCCAAACATATCACAGCTCCAATATTAAATAAAACACAATAATACTTCCTCCTGAAATATAGAAATATAGCAACATTTGGGTTGATAAAAATTGAAAGCAAACTTACCTTTTGGGAATACTCTAACTTTTCAGAGTATATTTGCCTGTGGGATTCCCTGTGATATTTGCTTGAACCCTCTGGGGGTACTAATACCAAAGGTTTGGAACTGAGCCTAGGCATTCCTGTAAAATTGTAATGATATGGAACCTGCAAAATTCTATTAAAATAACTTATTTTTTAGTGTCAAATTAAGCAAACTATTTGATTAATTTGGTGTTTCTAATAAATTATCACCTTTTCTTAATATTAATCATATCATTATGTTCTTATTGTATATAATTACTAGTTTTAACCAGTCATAAATGTCCATGTATGTACAGTCTGGATAAACAAAAAAAAAGAATTATTGACCTTTCTTGATCGGTCACTCATTGGAATTCTGCTGACAATTTTCTTCTAATTTATCTAATTATGAATTAATTATGGACATTTGAGACAAACTAGTATTTTTCCAAGTCATTAGAACACCTCTACTTTCTATTCATATAAGTATTAGCATTTTCATTTTCATAAATGAAAATAAGGGAACCCATCTTTAAATAGATACAATAATAATTACCAATGAGTATTACTTCCAACAAAACCACCAATACGTGTATATGTAGGTACAAATAGCATAGCCAAAAGAAATAACAATCCTGTCCAGGCAACAGAATACCAATATACTGTCAATACTGCCATTAATATTACTAATGTATTAATATACAACAGAGCCTTTTAAATAAAACATTAATATGAAAATAACAAATTCAGTATTATAAAACTGAATGAAACCAGAAAGTGATCATAACAATTGTAATACTATAAAATGAAATCAGGGAATAGAAATTAATGCTGTAAAACATGGCCTAATATAACAACAAGAGTGAGAGGATGACAAATATAATGCTATAAAGCAGAGCCTGTCATAAAACAAGAATAACAAAATATCAAATGTAAGGGTAGTTGAAAAATAACGTTAAACGCAGAAAGCACTAGTACTACTAGTCTAGTATTCATTTACGAAACCTTTCATATAAACCAAGAAGAATGTGTGCAGTACCTTAAATTTATTAGAATATCTTTACCTTAAAATCACTGAGATACTTCTCTCTTTTATCAAAATGTTTGATTTCTTGATTTAAAGCATCTTTTATATTTGGTGGTTGTCCAGTATGTAAATCAATAGTTGAAGGTTGACTTGCCAATGTCATCAGACTATATATTCTCTGTTGAAATGGAATATGAATATTCAAATTCGAAGTGTGATAAATTTTCAAAAGTAAGATAGACCACAAAATGTGCACAAAACCAAGTTTCATCAAGATTGCAAAAAGATATTCACTGAAATTGTCAAACCCATCTGGGTTCTTTAGTCTACTCATTATTTTCAGAATCCTTCTTTTCCCACTTTTATCTATCATAATTTTATGATCATAATCTGAGTAATAATACAATTCAAATTACTTACCTCCATTTGACTATCAGTTGGTATCATTGAAACTATAGCATTATCATTGATATCATAATCTCCTAGATAATCAGCATCACGTAACATCTCTCCTTTGTATCGCAACTTAAATTGGTGATCATCTTTACCAATATCATATAAAATATGTAAAAGATGTGCTCGAAATCTGGCTACCTTATCTTGTCTACTAAGAGACAATACAAATGTTCTATGCTGCAAAAAAAAAAAAAAAAAATATTGTGAAAATATATCAAATGAAAACTGTGCATTTTAAGTTACAATTAATGCTGTATAACCCAATGGTATGCAATGTTTAACATTAAGGAAATATTTTAAGTCTTTTTGTAATATTGAATTAACTGTTTATGTTTATGATCAATATTATGTGCCCATTATGAAGTGTAGTTCTATACAGTGGTGCAACCTATTTTCGTGCATTCAACAACGAATTTCGTCAAAATTAAAAAAAAGGAAAATTTTTTCTATGTCTTAGATGTTTCCTCAGATATTCTATAAAATAATCAAAATTGGTTTTTTTCAATTTTCTTTATGAATCCTTCACTTTGACCCATATATCATGAGCAACCAACTCCATAGAATTTTTTCTGCTGACACGGAATCCGCTAGTTGATCACGTGACTTCATTCATTGGACTACATTCTAGCAGGCGACACTTGGAATTCTGATTACAGCTTGGGATTATAAGGAAATTCGGTCAATAAAAAATCGTGACGTTTGGTAAGAACTCATAATCTGCCATTTTGTATTCGTCAAAGTAGACATTAATACATTTTACCTTGCTTGAAACTACTGGATTCATTCTACTACCTAACATTGTACAAATAACCCACGTTTATCAAAAAAACAAAACCACACATGTAAATTATTTATCATTTCCGGAGATGCACGAAAAATAGGTAAGCACGAAATTAGGTTACTTGACTGTACAAATTATGTCAAATATTCAAACCTTACATACTTGAACTGCATACATTCTAAAGACAAACAGCATGCAATTGAAAATCTGATCTTGAATATTTTGAGAAAAAAACAATAGTACTAAACTAGTACAGCTGGACCAGCTAAGATATGCCTTATCTAATCATCATAATATTCATTATCTAGCCTAAGCCTACTGTGTGAATTTCATTTCAAAGGCTAGTAAAAGAAAGACATTTAAAGAGATGACTGGAGTAATTATAAAGCAAGGCTTACAGGAAAGTCTTGATTTTTAACGTAAATGATCATTTTACATTTACAATCAAAAATTGTTTACATAAATGCTAAGGAATGTCAGCCATGACACCGGAAATGTTTTTATAGGTTTATTCGACTGAACAACCATTTTCCAAAAATAGGACCTTCGAGAAAAGACTTTTAAAAAAACAAAGATAACTTTGTCTTTGTCTTACTCTTAGCATGAGATGTGTGAGTTTCTTTGATTAGATAAATATTTATATAGATATATTATATATCGAGAAGATATCAAATCATACAATATCGGCTAATGTGATTACATGAAGCCTATCGAACGCATCTACTTGCGTTACATCTACATCCGGTTCTTTTGAAAACTGAAATCATTGGCTTTAGAGTCATTTGTATTGTATTGATTGTATTATTTTTAGCTTTTAAGAATTCAGAATGCCGGATCATTTAGGCTCTGATCAGAGAAAGGTTAAAGATGAAAAGACAGACGAGAAACCAATACAAGGTGATATCTTTTAATCTCTATTTAGTTGAAAATATTGGCATAGTGATTGAATATTTCATTTTTGCTTTGTCACCATTTATTTACAGTGGTGTAACCTAATTTCGTGGATATAAAGATCCAACACCGAATTTCGTCAAAGTTAAAAAAACGAAAAAAAAATTGTATGTCTGAGATGTTTCCTCAGATACTCTACAAAATAATTAAAATTGGTTTATTTCGATTTTCTTTATGAATCCTTCCCTTTGACCCATATTTCATGAGCAACAAATTCGGCAACGGCGGCAGAATGCGTCACCTATTTTCGTGTACAATGTTTGATCTATAAATAAGTCTAGAAAAACACGTTGTATGGATACCGGGTGGTATAATTAACTTCTCTTAGTATTTATCTTTAATATCAATTCATTATAACTAGTGACAATTCCTTCAAAGAACCATGATTTTTAAAAAAAAAATAGTGACTGACAAAATAAGATACGTAGCGTGATTTATTGCTAAAAGTCACTGAAACAACATAAGAATATGGTCCACTTTGTGTTCCATAGAAATTTCTGCTGACACGGAATCCGCTAGTTGATCACATGACTTCATTCGTTGGACTACATTCTAGCAGACGACACTTGGAATTCCGATAACCGCTTGGGATAATAAGGAAATTCGGCTGATAAAAAATGGTGCCGTTTGGTAACAAGTGAAATCCGCCATTTTGTATTTGTCAAGTATACATTAATACATTTTACCTTGCTTGAAACTACTGAATTTATTCTACTAGCTGATATTGTAGAGAAAACCAATGTTTATTAAAACAAACTAATGCAGAGGTCGCGCAAGGTCACACATGTAAATTATTAATCATTTCCGGAAATCCACGAATAATAGGTTTCCACGAAATTAGGTTACTTGACTATACTTTTATTCAAGTTAAGCCAGTTAGGTCTAATACAGTGGCCGAGCCAGGTTTATGTCCGAGGATGGCGAAATATCTGAGATCTAACGGAAGTTCTAACATAGTTATGAGATTTTTACGTGTAAAACTTGCTTTGTAAACGAAAATAGGTGATGCATGAAATATGAGTCGAAAATCAAAATAAACCAATTTTTTGATATGAATGAAGGCATGGCCTTGAATGAGAGCGTAGATTATTGATAAAATAACAATAATTGATAATACAGTCAAGTAACCTAATTTCGTGGAAACCTATTATTCGTGGATTTCCGGAAAGGATTAATAATTTACATGAGCGACCTTGCTCGACCTCCACATTAGTTTGTTTTAATAAACATGGGTTTTCTCTACAATATCAGCTAGTAAAATGAATCCAGTAGTTTCAAGCAAGGTGAAATGTATTAATGTATACTTTGACAAATACAAAATGGCAGATTTCACTTATTACCAAACATCACCATTTTTTATTGGCCGAATTTCCTTATAATCCCAAGGGGTAATCGGAATTCCAAGTGTCGTCTGCTAGAATGTAGTCCAACAAATGAAGTCACATGATCAACTAGTGGATTCCGTGTCAGCAGAAAATGGACCATATTCTTATGTTGTTTCAGTGACTTAAAGCAATAAATCACGCTACGTATCTTATTTTGTCAGTCTCTATTTTTTTTTAAAACCGTAGTTATAATCTAGCAGACGACACTCGGAATTCCGATTACCGCATGGGATTATAAGGAAATTCGGCCGATAAAAAAAATGTTGACGTTTGGCAATAACTGAAATCCGCCATTTTGTATTTGTCAAAGTATACATTAATACATTTTACCTTGCTTGAAACTACTGGATTCATTCTACTAGCTGATATTGTACAGATAACCCATGTTTATCAAAACAAGCAAATGCAAAGGTAATGCGAGGTCGCATGTGTGTAAATTATAAAATCATTTTTGGAGATGCACGAAATTAGGTTATTGACTGTATACATTTTTCCAAAATAGGCCTTAAGTTTCATCAAATTACAATTGGATGTAAATCACTCCATGACCTATCATTCTTATATCTAGCCTAATAAAAGAAAAATTGACTTACCAGGTCTACCCATTCTTTGCTATTTTGGCATGAATACCAGTCAACTCATGGATAAAATTTTATCGGAGAACTTGCCTACAGAAGTCAACTGGTCGGCACAATTTGATGACAGAATCTTTGTTGTTTTTGTTAATTGAATAATTGAGCTGTTTATTGTGATGCGGTGTCAATTAAATCTATCAAAACATTTTTTGATATTAAAAATATATAAATATTTTGAGGAAATACTTGCATTTATAAAATTTATTCCCATGATATTGAGTCTAAATTTTCATGGTCTCACAGGTATGACTTCCGGTTTGGAGAAGTCAAACAAACCGATAATATTTTAACCTCAGATTTGCAGTTTTCTATAAACGCTAAATGGACATTATTTTGTTACAATTAGAATCTTTGTATTTCGAAGCATGAGTTTTTGCCAGTGTATCTCCAAGGAGGTCAAATCCATGCTGTTTTACTGCCGCTATTAACCGATATATTACTTTATGCAGCATAATCTGTGACAATGTTAGTATGATACTTGGGCTGCAACGATTCCTAAAGTGGCGATCCGATACACTAAACGATATTCTTGCAACGATACGATTTATTGCGATAATAAATCGCGATTCTTTGTTTAAAAGGGAAAGAAAATGAAAACTGATAATTAATAACATTTTAACACAGTTTAAATTATTTTGGCACGCTTAGAAGTTAATTTTCAATCAAAGAATAACAAAAACACGGGTTTGGGAGATCCGGATATTTTATTTGCACACTATAAAATATCACTACAACTTGGGCAATACATATATCGATATTAATGCACAATTCCTCCAAACCTCCCAAACACTATTAATTACATGGACACAAGGATACATTATCATTATTATACAAAATAGGAATTAACAAAACCCGTTCATGATTTTGCACAGTTTTGGCATGTTTTACTTCTAAAGTAAATCCTTCTTCTGTAAAAGTAACAGACGAACGGGTTAAATTACTATTGCGATTAAACGATTTTACACATTTGGGTACCAAAGAGGATTTACGAAAGAAAGAATAAAAAGCTAACAAAGCAGCAGCCCAAAAAGTTAAATTAAAAGGGGTAGATAAGTCTAATTTATTGTACATCTTGCACAGTATATCTGGTGTAATAGGTAGTTTGGATTTCGGAGGTTTACCAATGAGTCTATTGACACCTTTTAATAAGGATTTGATCTGAAAATTATCTAAAGGGTTATCCAAATTAGCTTCTATATGAAGTAATCTAATAATATTAATATATCCACAAATGCTAGAGTAAGACAAAGTTCTAACTAGAAAAGCAATGTAGTGTAATATAGTACTAGTTGAACATGGAATTGGCTCATAGCCAAAGAATAGGCAAAACCTGAGATAACTCTTTAAGTGCGATCTGTATGTTGCCTTGGTTGACTCTGCATAAATTGCTAATCTATAATTGCGCACATCCTGGTCAAGATATCGTGCCTGAGCTGATAATGTGCCTGTGAAATAAAAAGGGCACAAGTGTAAGACATAAAGTTTGCAAGGTAAAAAGAGGGATATAAAAGATACTGGTTATAGTCCAACAATATTTTCGCTGCGACCAGGGCGAAATTTTCATGATCCAACCTAGACAAAGCGTCCGCGACAATGCTGTTTTTAGTAGATATATACTTGGCACATATTGTGATATTTAGGGTTGCCAAGATAGAATATAGTTCACGTAGAAACATTAGTCCAACCGAATTGCGAAGTGTGCCCTTATTTAGGGCGTACATAGTTACCTGGTTGTATATATATTGTCACACACTTGTTTTCCCATATTAAGGACCACTTCCTGAATGCTATCAAGACAGTTAAAAGTTCTTTTAGATTGATGTGAATGTCTTTGAATTCGGGATAATCTATCTCCCAATTCACATAGAACCAATTTCCGTTATGGAAAGCCGCCCCGCCATTGGTACAGGCGTCCGAGCAAAATGATATTGATGATGAGCAGGAATGTCCGGCTATTATAACAGTACCGTTAAAGTCACCACACGCCTTTTTTAGCCAGATGATATCCTCTTTAACAGCACTATTTAGATGTACATGGTGTGAGGGACGTCTTAACGTACACATTAGGTCTATTAACCTAGGAATAAAAGGTCTAGACGCCCGTATCAACTTTGCAGCCCAGTTTAGTTTCCCTATTAAATGTTGGAGTTGGCGTTTCGAGACTGATTTCTTGGTTAACCAACAAGACAATTCTGTTTTAATATCTCGTACCTTACATTCAGGGATAGATATTGTCATTGCGATAGAATCAATGGAAACTCCAAGAAAAACTATTGTTTGTGCAGGCAGAAAAGTCTTAGACCAATTAATAGTAAATCCAGATAGTTCTATGAGGCTGATCAGGCAGTTGTAAGCCGCCAAACAATCTTCATAAGTGTCAGCCACAACAATGAAATCATCCAAATAAACGAAAACGTTTTTAAATCCCCTCCGTTTGAGCATTCGGGTGATGCTTTCAGTGATACGTTGAAAAATTGCGGGGGCTGTGGAGGCACCGAAACATAATCTACTATCATACATGTAGGTTGGATGTGTCGTCCCGGAAAATACCCATTTAAGCCCCGTAGCACAAAAATTCGAAGGATGTACGCATGTGATAGGTCTAACTTTGCACAAAACCCCTTGTGTTTTAACACCGAGCATACCTGGTCTAAAGACGTGTATTTAGTTTTTGTGGAAAAGGCGTAAGAATTGAAGGATTTTCCGAAAGGGCGAGATGCGTCGTGTATTATCCTAATATTGTCACTGTTTGGGTATGGCTCCCAGGGCGCTAATAATTTTTGGTTTTTCTTCACAAATTATATAGTTATTTTGTCGTATTTCTGATCTGTTAATCAAAGAGCTTTTGTGGTTTTCACATTTTGCATTCAAAATAACCGTATCACTTATGATTTTAAAGCCGTCACAAATACCAGTTAAAATAAAGTTTTTATCACGATCTTTTCTTAGTTCAGATTCCCAAAAACTTAAACAATTAGTTAAAGGGCTTGTTATCATTGGTGGCTATTGCGATATGGCACTATTTCCTTTAGTAATTAGTTTATAGAGATATTCAGGGTGGTTTTGACGACATCCCTCACCTTTACACACATGACTGAATTTTCAGAACCTACGACGACAGCCTGATTCAGTTTGATAATCTCTACAGATATTTTGTCCTTTGGAGTCTTTCGGTATATGTACAGATGCTACAGACTTGTTATTTCCTAATGAAGGTCGATTTGTAGGTCGTAAAAAGAAATTAACTCCGTGGAAATCAGGAGTGGCCCATCGAAATTTCTCTTTAGACTGTCGTTCATGGTATCTATGATCAAAGAGCATGACTGAAGGTGTTGAATATATTTGAAAGTATTCACCGATATCTTCTGTGTTTTTTTGGTTTCATAAAAACGTATTGAGCTGAAGAATCTTATTTCCAAGAGCGCTGTCTTTCATGACTATGCAAACGCATCTTACGTTGGAAAAAGAAAAAGGTTATATCAGATCCCGTGCGTTTATCTTCCACTTGGCATATTAATATGTTCTCTTTCCGTCGTTTATAACAAAAATTAATAATGCTGAAGACAAATTAATACGTGAAAAGCAATTTTTTAACATTTGAACATGACACAATTTCTAAAATACGTGAGCATTTCGTGCTATTAGTCATTAAAGGGAGTTAATTATATTTATGAGAATCGGGCCGATGTATCGCGATTATTTTTTTCTTCCGCAATGCATCGATAAGAAGGAACAAATCGTGATTCATCGATTCAAAGGTGAATCGTTGCAGCCCTATATGATACTATTTATAGTAACAATCGTGCCTCCTATGTTTCTGTGCCGAATCGAGAAATATAACCAAAGGTTATTAACAAACTCGCCATTCCATCTGGCCCAGTCTGGTGTTTCTGAAGTTTTTCTACTTTTTATACGCCCACATGAAATGGGGGGCGTATATTGCCGTCACCTCTTTCCGTCGGTCGGTCCGTCCGTCCACAATTGCCCGTAAGCACTCTACAAGGCACAATTCTTGACTGATTTCAACGAAACTTGGTATGGTTGTTTGTAATCACCCAAGGATGAACCCTATCGAAAATCAGAAAAATTGAAAAATATTTAGTATGAGTTATTGCCCTTGTTCTTGAAAACGCGTTCAATTTTTAGTTCGTTAACACTCTAGAAGGCACAATTCTCGACGGATTTTGACAAAATTTGGCATGAGTGTTGGTTATCACGCATGGATAAACTGTATTGAAAAACAGAAAATTAAAGAATATTTAGTATGAGTTATTGCCCTTACTCTTGAAAACGCGTTCAATTTTTAGCTTGTAAACACTCTAAAAGGGACAATTCTTGACGGATTTTAACGAAATTTGTCATGAGTGTTTGTTATCACCCAAGGATAAACCCTATTAAAAATCAGAAAAATAAAAAAATAATTAGTATGAGTTATTGCCCTTGCAATTGGAAAAGAGTTCAAAAGAAGTATATGACTGAAGGTTTAATATTTCATACTGGTGATTGTTACTGTACTGCTAAATATTTTTATTCAAAATCAAATCTGCCAGTGGACGTATATTACCTTGCCTGGCAAACTATCTTATTTGCTAGCCAAAGGACTTGTTGTGAAGGAATAAATTCAGCTTTACATGACACATTCGTGCAGCTACTAGAAACTCGAAGGCAACATGGGAGTCGCTGTGGCACAGTGAGGTAGACGCTTGATCGCTAACCTGAAGGTTCTTTTATTAGACTAGATATAAGAATGATAGGGTGATTTACATCCAATCTCCGAATAGGTCAAGATAATACTTTCGGATTTTTCAATACGGTTTACCCCCCTCAGTGATGCAGGTAAGAGGGGCTGTCATGGAAAAAAGGTCTTGTCGTTTGGTTGGGACAATAAACCGAGGCCCAGTGTGCTACAGGCTTAAAGACCCCACGACGGTTGGATATGGAATAACAGCAGGCTAATGCCACTGTCCTGGCAAAACTTGCACCCTGCATGGCATTGCCTGTTTCACTAGCCCACATGGTGCAGAAAAGTAGGATGTAAAACTCATTTCATTTCGAAGTCAACATCTTTATCTGTTGCTTTTTACAGACAATGCAGGGAACTTGTCGAAACTAGGTCAGATTTTCTTCGGTACGGCATTAAATCGCGCTAATCCTGACTGCAGTTTAGTTAAAGCTGTAAAACGCTATATCATGCATGTTTATATGTTGATTAATTGATTTGTTATCACCACTTTTACAATTCATACTAACCGTCAATCTATTTACCACTTATCTCCCCTCAATTGATCGTGTGAGTGGTAATAAAGCATTTTACAATAAATAAAAACAAAACCTTGATCTAATAAAACAATTTTAATTGAGTAAAATGTGTCGACAAGTCGTCTTTTGATTTGTCTCAATGATGATGACGATGAATCAAATATTTATCCCTTTTATCAGATTTTCATGAAAATTGGTTGATCATCTATAAGCTTATTGATGGTAAAGTTCGAATTTGACGATTTTTTCGATGAACAGTAAGCTTATTGAGTTATTGCCCTTGAAAAGCATTAAAATTTGTTCATGAATACTATAGAGACTATAAAGATTTCTTCTGATTTACATTTGATGTTAACTGTACAGTTTATGTCCGAATTTTGTGTTGGTTTAAATCAACAATATCTTTGACAAGTTAGATCTTTTGTACGATTTGACACTGATTGGTGACCGCCCTTGATAAACTGAAAATTGATCAGGGAAGTGGGCATATCTTGCTAGGCAACAAATTGTTAAGTTATTTCTTAACATACCAGGCTAACTAGTAACAGTGTTTATTTCTTATTTTTTCAGCTCTTGATGAGGGAGATATTGCCCTGTTGAAGACATATGTAAGTGGAAATTTATCAGCTGACTTTTTACCGTTGAATTTGAAAATCATTTTGTTAATGTACTTCTAATGTGTTTCCTTACTTTCATTTTCAAGAAGTTATACGCTGTGTAGCTCAGGGATTATCAACCTTGGGGTAATTTTTATACGCCCACATGAAATGGGGGGCGTATATTGCCGTCACCCATGTCCGTCCGTCCACAATTGCTCGTAAACACTCTACAAGACACAATTCTTGACGGATTTTGACAAAACTTGGCATGAGTGTTCATAATCACCCAAGGATGAACCCTATTGAAAATCAGAATAATCGAAAAATATTTAGTATGAGTTATTGCCCTTGTTCTTGAAAACACGTTCAATTTTTAGCTCGTAAACATTTTAGAAGGCACAATTATTTGTGGATTTTGACGAAACTTGACATGAGTGTTTGTTAATAAAAGGAAAGCCCTGGTGTAACCAATGAAGGTAATTTTATATCGTTTATTTTGAAGGGGGTAGGACAGTACACCAAGACTATCAAACAATGTGAAGAAGACATCCAGAATAATCTCAAAAAAGTCAATGAACTGTCAGGTTTGTAAATTTTACAAAAAATTTTCATTATCTTTCCATTATCTATTGATTTCAGGAAGGGAAGTTACACTAAATATTTACTTCATACATGAATAGATAGTAAGAGATTGTAGATAGTATAACATATAAGGTTGCATTCTTGGGATGTTGTTTTTGATTGCTATATGATATTAGCAATATCTGGTATGTAAACTAAACTAAATGTTTTAAAGTCATTTGTATATGTACAGGTTCTGTAGAAAGATAAAAGTTGAGGTTAATTATCTATGATTATGTTTTGTAGGTATTAAAGAATCTGATACAGGTTTAGCTCCACCTGCTTTATGGGATTTAGCTGCTGACAAACAGACTTTACAAAGTAAGTTGGTATCATTATAAAAAAAACCTTCATCAAAGATTGTTATTTTCATTCAAGCACACTGGCTGGCTATCAAGTGATGTGGCCATGCATATTTTGCTGTCTGCTATAAGTTATGTCTGAAAATGTATCAGCTTATGTGAAAAGCATGGTGGTCTCCACAACGAGGCCTTTTAAGATATATTGAAACAAGTTGCAGCCTGACAAAGATTTCAAAATTAAAAGCTCCTCATAATCGGAATAACACCACTTCTTAGCAATGGAATCGACTCTCCACTTTGTTGTATGAAAATTTTTCCTAAAAAACATATTGTACATAGTTAAAAGCAGAATTGAACCCGCTTTTTATACGCCCACATGAAATGGGGGGCGTATGTTGCCGTCACCCATATGCGTTGGTCCGTCCCTCAACTGCTCGTAAACACTCTACAAGGCACAATTCTTGACTGATTTCGAAGAAACCTGGTATGGTTGTTTGTAATCACCCAAGGATGAACCCTATTGAAAATCAGACGCATCTAAAAATATTTACTATGAGTTATTGCCCTTGTTCTTGAAACGCTTGTAAACCCTCTAGAAGGTGCAATTCATGACGGATTTTGATGTGTTCACAATCACCCAAGGATAAACCCTATCAAAAATCAGAAAAATTGTAAAATATTTAGTATGAGTTATTTCCCTTGTTCTTGAAAACGCATTCAATTTTTAGCTTGTAAACACTCAAGAAGGGACAATTCTTGACAGATTTTGATGAAACTTGGTGTGAATGTTCCTTACCACCCAAGAATAAACCATATTGAAAATCAGAAGAATCGAAAAATATTTAGTATGAGTTATTGCCCTTGTTCTTGAAAACGTGTTCAATTTTTAGCTCTAAAACACTAAAAGGCATGATTGTTGCTGGATTTTGACGAAACTTGTCATGAGCGTTGGTTATCACCCATGGATAAACCGTATTGAAAAAGAGAAAAATTGAAAAATATTTAGTACCGGTATGAGTTATTGCCCTTGTTCTTGAAAACACGTTCAATTTTAGCTTGTAAACACTCCAGAAGGCACAATTCTTGCAGATTTTGGAATATGATGGAACTTCAGATTTTTTTGTTTTTCTGTCTCGGTTACAGCAACCTACACGTCTAGTCAACAATGGCTGTTCATAGACGCTTGACAGCCAAACTATTATTAGACAGGACAACTCCAGGATGTGACGTCAGCTCAAATCCTCCTATAGATATAGTGTAGGCTACATTTGTTGATGAAGGTTACACTTTGGTTGATGCATTGGACAGTTAAATCTGACTGAAACAGCTGAGATTTCTTTTTTATTATAAACCATATTTTTAAACCTCATTAAACTTATATATCTTTTTGTGATTTAGAAAGTAGCTTCAAAAGAGAAATTATTTTGATCTTGATTTTTTTCTGTAGGTGAACAGCCATTACAAGTCGCAAGATGTACCAAGATCATTAATGCTGATTCTGATGATCCCAAATATATCATTAATGTGAAACAGTTTGCGAAGTTTGTTGTTGATTTAGGAGATCAAGTAGCTCCAACTGATATTGAAGAAGGCATGAGAGTTGGGTAAGTTTTCTTCATTCACCAAGTTTGTTGGTGTAAGTTGACAGCTTGATGCAGAGGGCACAAATTCTATAATTTCTACAATTTTCTTTTTCAGAGTTGATAGAAATAAATACCAAATACATATTCCTCTACCACCTAAAATAGACCCTTCTGTCACCATGATGCAGGTAATAAATCTTTTCATATATACACATACTAGACAGGTGACTGACTTCATTTTAATCAAGTTCCTCTGGAACTTACCATTAGTGACCAGATCAACATTGCCTTTCTAACTATTGAAAATTGAATATGAAGACTTTGTCAAGCACAATGACTACTTGAGATTCATATTAAATGTATTTATTTCTGTCGTAGAAATTGTGTCGAGTGCATGAAAGATAAATGATTTACAAACTGAAATCATGGTCAATGGTAAACTGGAGTTTAAGTTTTGAATGATTGGAATTTGTGATTGTTATTGAAGTTTATATCTTGTTTGTAGGTGGAGGAAAAACCAGATGTAACATATAGTGATGTTGGTGGTTGTAAGGAACAAATTGACAAACTACGTGAAGTTGTAGAAGTTCCATTGTTACATGTAAGTTTTTATACGCCCACATGAATATGTGGTCGTATATTGTCGTCGCCCCTGTCCGTCCGTCGGTCCGCCTGTCAACATTTCTTCTGAGCACTATAGAGACTACAGTTTTTATCTGATTTTGATAAAACTTGCTGTGATGCTTTAGATTGATAAGATCTCGGTCAATTTCGCATTTGACATATTTTCGATGAACGGTTTTTGAGATATTGCCCTTGACTTAGAACTCCTTGAAATTTGTTAAAAATTGTTCGTGAGCAGGATTGAAGCTCCAGATTTCATCCGATTCTGATGAAACTTGGTGTGATCAATGGAATTGATAAGATCTCGGACAAGTTCTAACTTGACGCATTTTCGATGAACCATTTTTGAGTTATTGCCCTTGACTTTGTTAAAACATGTCGAAATTTGTTAAAAATAGTTCGTGAGCAGGATTGAAGCTAGTTTTCAACCGATTCTGATGAAACTTGTTGTGATCATTGGAATTGATAAGATCTCGGACATGTTCTAATTTGACGCATTTTTGAGTTATTGCCCTTGACTTTGTTAAAACACGTCGAAATTTGTTAAAAATAGTTCGTGAGCAGGGTTGAAGCTACAGTTTTCAACCGATTCTGATGAAACTTGGTGTGATCATTGGAATTGATAAGATCTCGGACAAGTTCTAACTTGATGCATTTGTGATGAACCGTTTTCGAGTTATTGCCCTTGACTTTGTAAAAACGCGTCAAAATTAGTTCGTGAGCACAGCTGCCAGTGGGCGTATGTTAACTTGCAACGCAAGCTATCTTTTATAATGCCATCTATCCGTCCACAATTGCTCGTAAACACTCTACAAGGCACAATTCTTGACTGATTTCGACGAAAGTTTGTATGGTTGGTTGTAATCACCCAAGGATGAACCCTATTGAAAATCAAAAAAGTTATTGCCCTTGTTCTTAAAACGCTCGTAAACACTCTAGAAGGTGCAATTCATGACGGATTTTGATGAAACTTGGTATGAGTGTTCTTTATCGCCCAAGGATAAACCCTATTGAAAATCAGAAAAATTGAAAAATATTTAGTATGAGTAATTGCCTTTGTTCTTGAAAACGTGTTCAATTTTAGCTTGTAAAGTCCTTAGAAGGCACAATTCTTGATGGATTTTGACGAAACTTGGTGTGAGTGTTTGTAATCACCAAAGGATAAACCCTATTGAAAATCAGAAAAATTGAAAAATATTTAGTATTAGTTATTGCCCTTGTTCTTGAAAGCGCTTTCAATTTTTAGTTCGTAAACATTCTAGAAGGCCAATTCTTGACGGATTTTGACGAAACTTGGCATGAGTGTTGGTTATCACCCATGGATAAACCGTATTGAAAAAGAGAAAAATTGAAAAATATTTAGTACTGGTATGAGTTATTGCCCTTGTTCTTGAAAACACGTTCAATTTTAGCTTGTAAACACTCCAGAAGGCACAATTCTTGCAGATTTTAACGAAATTTGGCGTGAGTGTTTGTTATCACCCAAAGATAAAGCCTATTGAAAATCAGAAAAATCGAAAAATATTTAGTATGAGTTATTGCCCTTGATCTTGAAAACTTGTTCAATTTGTAGCTCATAAAAACTCTAGAAGGCATGATTCTTGCCGAATTTTGACAAAACTTGGTTTTATTATTCATTACCGCGCTGAAGATTGAATATTTGTCTTCACGAGTTTTAACGAGCTACAGATTGAACACGTTTTGAAGAACTAGGGCAATAACTCATACTCAATATTATTCAGTATCGCCCTAAAGAGTTCAAAAGAAGTGTATGACTGAAGGTTGAATATTTCATACTGGTGATTGTTACTGTACTGCTAAATATTTTTATTCAAAATCAAAGCTGCCAGTGGGCGTATATTACCTCGTCTGGCAAGCTATCTTTTACTTAGATTATCTCCCTTTACGCATACTTTCATTATGGTTAAAATCAATTCACATTAACAGTGAAGTTATCAGAAATTTGTCTCATTAATTTTCTATTGTAATTCAATGAAGAAGGCTCACTTATTGCATGAAATTTTGTCAAAGTGGCATGCTGTAGCTGATCTCATTATTTATTGTAATATTTCATGAGAATAAGAATGAGCCTTCTTTGTATTTGTAGCCAGAGAAGTTTGTAAATCTTGGTATTGAACCACCTAAAGGTGTGTTATTATTTGGACCACCTGGTACAGGAAAGACTTTATGTGCTCGTGCTGTGGCTAATAGAACAGATGCATGTTTTATCAGAGTTATTGGTTCAGAATTGGTACAGAAATATGTAGGGGAAGTAAGTGTATCTTTTTACCACTTTTATTATAGTCAATCCATGAAGAAATTTACATGTATTGTATAATATACTCTGACAGATTTGTACATGGATATGCTAATATTGTCATATATATTTCTTACACACATTAAAGATGGTTTTGCTTATTTTTATACGCTCATGTGAAATGGGGGGGCGTATATTGCTGTCACCCATGTCCGTTTGTCAGTCCGTCCACAATTGCTCGTAAGCACTCTACAAGACACAATTCTTGACGAATTTTGACAAAACTTGGTATGAATGTTCGTAATCACCCAAGGATGAACCCTATTGAAGATCAGAAGAATCGAAAAATATTTAGTATAAGTTATTGCCCTTGTTTTCTTGAAAACACGTTCAATTTATAGCTCGTAAACAATCTAGAAGGGACAATTCTTGGTGGATTTTAACAAAACTTGGCATGAGTGGTCGTAATCACCCAAGGATGATCCCTATTGAAAGTCTCAAAAATCAAAAAATATTTAGAATGAGTTATTGCCCATCTTCGTGAATACGCGTTCAATTTTCATCTCGTAAACACTCCAAGAGGAACAATTCTTAATGGATTTTGACGAAACTTGGCATGAGTGTTTGTTATCAACCAAGGATAAACCCTATTGAAAGTCAGAAAAATCGAAAAATATTTAGTATTAGTTATTGCCCTTGTTCTTGAAAACAAATACTTGGTTTTATTATTCAGTCCCGAGCTGAAGATTGAATATTTGCCTTCAAGAGTGTTCACGAGCTAAAAATTGAACATGTTTTCAAGAACAAGGGCAATAACTCATACTCAATATTATTCAGTACTTATTCAAAGAGTTCAAAAGAAGTGTATGACTGAAGGTTGAATATTTCATACTGGTGATTGTTACTGTACTGCTAAATATTTTTATTCAAAATCAAAGCTGCCAGTGGGCGTATATTATCTTGCCTGGCCAGCTATCTTTTGGTGTCAAATTAAGCAAACTATTTGATTAATTGGTGTTTGTGATAAATTATCCTGTTTTCTTAATCATTTCATTATGTTCTTATTGCATTGGATAAACAAAAAAAGACTGACCTTTCTTGATCGGTCACTCATTGGAATTCTACTGAAAGTTCTCTTCTAATTTAGCAAATTATGAATTAATAAAGGACATGTGACATAAACTTTTTCCAAGTCACTAGAACACTTCAACTTTCTATTTTTATTCTACATTAACTACTGAACAAACTTTCTTTTCAGGGAGCCAGAATGGTACGAGAACTATTTGAAATGGCCAGAGCAAAAAAAGCTTGTATTATATTTTTTGATGAAATTGATGCTATTGGAGGTAGGCAATAACTTGGTTCATTGATGGTTAGAAAATGTATTAAATAGTTTTCTTGTTTGTGTAGAAATTTAAATCTGTCATAAAATAATTTTATCTTAAATGTAAATGTACATTCAATCTGAAGAAGTTTTTATAACAAGTCTTCGAGTTATTGCCCTCAATTTTGTCTTCTTAGTATACCTTTCATCTGATTTTGATGATCTCAACATGTTGTAGCCCTTATTTCTAGGCTTGGAATAAGCATCCGGACACGGACATTGTCCAGTGCAGTTTGACAAATGTCCAGTACAGGATGGAAATTTTTGTCCAGTACCAAATTTATGAAATTTTTTTTTTCTGGTTGAAAAGATCGTGAAATATCAGTAATTCTAGCCGTTGATATTTCTAACAGAAGTCTTGAAAAATGTTCTTTTTCACATAAAGAATTGACATGTCTCTCCGCGGGAAGCAAAGAAGTTTGGAACAACAATAACTTAGTCTAGATCCTCAAGATTACAAGCACCTTTAGAAGACATGTAAGATCTGGGTGATCACATCAAAACACAATTAGTCCAAGTCGTTTGTCTGAATCTTTTAGTAATTTTAATTCTATAATAATTATATATAAACATGAGACTATCTTTCATATGATACTATATGTTATGATTATGTCCAATTATGCTTTAATGCTTTTATTTCAAATATTACATAAGAATTTGATACAAAGATATACACTGAGCCGGAGAAATTGTCAAGCACCATGTTAAACAAACACCGCAGGATGTTATGATTAGCACCATTATTCTTTAAACCGAAAGTAAAAAAATAATGAAAGGAAGAAATTCATTGGCTGATTTAAGTAGACATCTTTTATTGTCAGATAAGTTGTTACTTCCAATGGCTCTTTTTTCTGTTCCAAGAGTTTGCCATCAAGATACGATTTTTACCTACATTTTTATGGCTCTATCATTCCCGATAACATAAATAATCCTTATGGCCTATTTGAATGACATAAACTATTTAAGCTAGTTGTTAACCTGAATTGACACGTTTTAAATGAAATTTTTTAATTGAAAATATTGTAATTTTGCTATGTCCGCTACAAAATTAAAATGTGCTTCACAAATTGAACTCAATTTCTGAAGTTATTTCAAGCCTTGCTTTATCTTTTTGCTCTTTTTAATATACAATTATGAGATTTCAATCAATATATAAATTTTTAGGAGCTAGATTTGATGATGGTGCAGGTGGTGACAATGAAGTGCAAAGAACTATGTTAGAATTGATTAATCAGTTAGATGGCTTTGATCCCCGTGGTAATATTAAGGTTCTCATGGCAACCAACAGACCTGATACATTGGATCCAGCTCTAATGAGACCTGGTAGATTAGATAGAAAAATTGAATTTGGTTTACCTGATTTAGAGGTGAAAACTTTTGTTTTTTTGGACTATTCGGCCACAACTGCATTTAATTAATAGTCAAATTAAATATATTCCATAACCTTTGATTGGGAATCTTTTTATATATAGACATGTCTTGTAAAAAATATGCATAAACTAATTGTGTTGTAAATATTGTTATATTTATAAATTCGGTTAAAATTAAGTATTTAAACTTTTCAATCTCTATTATTTATTTTAAATATCCTGATTGAAAGATACAAGGAAATTGGTCTTCAAGGGATTGTAAAAAGTTTTTCTAATTTTTTATGTGTATCGGGGGCACGGATAGCACCTATTTGTACCATTCTGATTTTCAATGAGACATCTGTGATTCCTGCAATTCCACTAAAACTAAGTGTTTGATGACGTCACTTATTCAGAAATATGCACCACATAAGGTCCTCTGCATTTAGTTTTAATTAGAATTGTAGGAACCACAGACATCCAACTGAAAATTAGAATGGTGCAAATTGGTTTAAATATATTTTAGTCTTGACACTATTAAAAAGTAATTTTAACATTGGTTAACTCAGTTCAGAAATCAAATTACAAGCTGATCACACGTTTATACTTGTAGTCATAATTAAAGATGTTTACTTCCAGGGAAGATCTCATATATTTAAAATTCATGCTAGATCTATGAGTGTAGAAAAAGATATTCGTTATGAATTGATGGCTCGACTTTGTCCAAATAGTACTGGTAAGTGGATTTTTATTTGTGATTTGTCTTATGAATAAATAAGTGTATCCAACTGACTTGTACAGGCAGTGGGATCCTTCAGTCAACTGTTTCTTTACCTTAACTCAATGATTGCTTCAATTATAAATACGTACCTCGTTCAATTATCAATTATAACTACTATTACTTATTGATATAACTTTTCAGTAGCAAAATAATAAATTGCTTCAAAATGTTTTGCTTTATTATGATTACATAGTAAACTAGAGTGATAAAGTTAAAGACAAATTTAAACAACCAGAAATGTGGCCAAGTCTCTTTAATAATACACAAGGAAGTAATTTTGATACAAGTAACATCCTTGTATATATCATGTTTATCATATAATGTGACTACTATGTAAAATATTTAGCTTTGAAATTTAATGCAGAATTGAATTGAGAGTACCTTCATAAGTTGAATAGAAGTGAATGCCAATCCCATTTTTATACGCCCACTTGAAATGGGGGGCATATATTGCCGTCACCCATGTCCGTCCGTCCACCATTGCTCGTAAACACTCTACAAGACACAATTCTTAACGGAGTGTTCATAATCACCCAAGGATGAACCCTATTAAAAATCAGAAGAATTGAAAAATATTTAGTATAAGTTATTGCCCTTGTTCTTGAAAACACGTTCAATTTTTAGCTCGAAAACACCCTAGAAGGGATAATTCTTGATGGATTTTAACGAAACTTGGCATGAGTGATCGTAATCACCCAAGGATGAACTCTATTCAAAATCAGAAGAATCGAAAGATATTAAGTATGAGTTATTGCCCTTGTTCATGAAAACGCTTTCAATTTTCAGCTCGTAAAAACTCTAGAAGGAACAATTCTTAATGGATTTTGACGAAACTTGACATGACTGTTTGTTATCAACTAAGGATAAACCCTATTGAAAATCAAAAAAATCGAAAAATATTTAGAATGAGTTATTGCCCTTGTTCTTGAAAACGCGTTCAATTTTTAGCTCGTAAACACTCTAGATGGCACAATTCTTGACGGATTTTGACGAAATTGATGTGAGTGTTTGTAAGCACCCAAGGATGAACCCTATTGAAAATCAGTAGAATTGAAAAATATTTCGTATGAGTTATTGCCCTTGTTCTTAAAAAAGCGTTCAATTTTTAGCTTGTAAACATTCTAGAAGGCACAATTCTTGGCCTGAGAGTTTGTAATCACCCAAAGATAAACCCTATTGAAAATCAGAAAAATCGAAAAATAATTAGTATGAGTTATTGCCCTTGCTTTTGAAAACGCGTTCAATTTTTAGTACGTAAACACTCTAGAAGGCACAATTCTTGATGGATTTTCACGAAACTTGGCATGAGTGTTCGTAATCACCCAAGGATGAACCCTAATGAAAATCAGAAGAATCGAAAAATATTTAGTATGAGTTATTGCCCTTGTTCTTGAAAACGCGTTCCATTTTTAGCTCGTAAACACTTTAGAAGACACAATTCTTCATGGATTTTGACGAAACTTGGCATGAGTGTTTGTTATCAACTAAGGTTAAACCCTATTGAAAATCAGAAAATTCGAAAAATATTTAGTATGAGTTATTGCCCTTGTTCTTGAAAACGCATTCAATTTTTAGCTTGTTAACATTCTAGAAGGGACAATTCTTGACGGATTTTGGCCAAACTTGGTGTGAGTGTTCATTATCACCCAAGGATGAACCCTATTGAAAATCAGAAGAATCGAAAAATATTGAGTATGAATTATTGCCCTTATTCTTGAAAACACGTTCACTTTTTAGCTTGTAAACATTCTAGAAGGCACAATTCTTAACAGGTTTTATTGAAACTTGGCTAGAGTGTTTGTTATCACCCAAGGATAAAGCCTATTGAAAATCAGAAAAGTCGAAAAATATTTAGTATGAGTTATTGCCCTTGTTCTTGAAAACTCGTTCAATTTGTAGCTCGTAGAAACTCTAGAAGGCATGATTCTCGCTGAAGATTGAATATTTGTCTTCTAGAGTTTTCACGAACTAAAGATTGATTACGTTTTCAAGAACAAGGGCAATAACTCATACTCAACATTATTCAGTATCGCCCCAAAGAGTTCAAAAGAAGTGTATGACTGAAGGTTGAATATTTCATACTGGTGATTGTTACTGTACTGCTAAATATTTTTATTCAGAATCAAAGCTGCCAATGGGCGTATATTACCTTGCCTGGCAAGCTATCCTGAATTTGTCAAAGTATACATTAATATTAATGTAATTAATTTTACCTTGCTTGAAACTACTGGATTCATTCTACTAGCTGACATTGTACAAATAACCCATGTTTATTAAAACAAGCAAATGCGGAGGTCACGTGAGGTCGCACATGTCAATTATAAATGTTTTCCGGAAATGCACGAAAAATAGGTTAGCACGACATTAGGTTACTTGACTGTATTTATGAATCTTTTTTAGATACTGAAATAATGATGTATGTTGTGTATATGAATCTTTATTTAGATACTGAAATAATGATGTATGTTGTGTATATGAATCTTTATTTAGATACTGAAATAATGATGTATGTTGTGTATATGAATCTTTATTTAGATGCTGAAATAATGATGTATGTTGTGTATATGAATCTTTATTTAGATACTGAAATAATGATGTATGTTGTGTATATGAATCTTTATTTAGATAGTGAAATAATGATGTATGTTGTGTATATGAATCTTTATTTAGATACTGAAATAATGATGTATGTTGTGTATATGAATCTTTATTTAGATACTGAAATAATGATGTATGTTGTGTATATGAATCTTTATTTAGATACTGAAATAATGATGTATGTTGTGTATATGAATCTTTATTTAGATACTGAAATAATGATGTATGTTGTGTATATGAATCTTTATTTAGATACTGAAATAATGATGTATGTTGTGTATATGAATCTTTATTTAGATACTGAAATAATGATGTATGTTGTGTATATGAATCTTTATTTAGATACTGAAATAATGATGTATGTTGTGTATATGAATCTTTATTTAGATACTGAAATAATGATGTATGTTGTGTATATGAATCTTTATTTAGATGCTGAAATAATGATGTATGTTGTGTATATGAATCTTTATTTAGATACTGAAATAATGATGTATGTTGTGTATATGAATCTTTATTTAGATACTGAAATAATGATGTATGTTGTGTATATGAATCTTTATTTAGATACTGAAATAATGATGTATGTTGTGTATATGAATCTTTATTTAGATGCTGAAATAATGATGTATGTTGTGTATATGAATCTTTATTTAGATACTGAAATAATGATGTATGTTGTGTATATGAATCTTTATTTAGATACTGAAATAATGATGTATGTTGTGTATATGAATCTTTATTTAGATACTGAAATAATGATGTATGTTGTGTATATGAATCTTTATTTAGATACTGAAATAATGATGTATGTTGTATATTATTCAGGTGCTGAGATAAGAAGTGTTTGTACAGAGGCTGGTATGTTTGCTATTAGAGCTAGAAGAAAGATGGCAACAGAGAAAGATTTCCTGGAAGCTGTCAATAAAGTCATCAAAGCTTATGCTAAATTTAGTTCAACACCAAGATACATGACATATAATTAGATATTTCATCATACAATATCTTCAATCATTGTCACTGTTTTGTTATTTAATCTTGTAAATAAAACTACAATTTCATCATTTTATCTGTTGTATCATTTTATACGCCCACGTGAAATGGGGGGCGTATATTGCCGTCACCCATCCGTTCGTCCGTTCGTCCGTCCGGCCGTCCACAATTGCTCGTAAACGCTCTACAAGGCAAAATCCTTGACTGATTTTGACGAAACTATGTTTGTTTGTAATCACCCAAGGATGAACCCTATTCAAAATCAGAAAAATCGAAAAATATTTAGTATCAGTTATTGCCCTTGAAGGTGCAATTCTTAACAGATTTTGATGAAATTGGTGTGAGTGCTTGTTATCACCCAAGGATGAACCCTATTTGAAATCAGAAAGATCGAAAAATAATAAGTATGAGTTATTGCCCTTGTTCTTGAAGACGCATTCAATTTTAGCTTGTAAACACTCTAGAAGGCACCATTCTTGATGGATTTTGACGAAACTTGGTGTGAGAGTTTGTTATCACCCAATAAACCCTATCGAAAATCCGAAAAATTGAAAAATATTTAGTATGAGTTATCGCCCTTGTTCTTAAAAAAATGTGTCAATTTTTAGCTTGTAAACCCTTTAGAAGGCACAATTCTTGATGGATTTTGACAAAACTTGGTGTGAGTGTATGTAATCACCCAAGAATGAACCCTATTAAAAATCAGAAAAATTTGAAAATATTAAGTGTGAGTTACTGCCCTTGTTCTTGAAAACGCGTTCAAGTTTTAGCCTGTTAACACTCTAAAAGGCCCAATTCTTGACAGATTTTGATGAAACTTGGTAATGTTATTCAGTATAGCCTCAAAGAATTCAGAAGAAATGTATGTCTGAAGGTTGAATATTTCATACTGGTAGTTGTTACTGTACTGCCCTTTAATTTTATTGAAAATCAAAGCTGCAAGTGGACGTATATTGATGAGATCTTGGTCAAGTCCAAATTTGACGATCTTTCGATGAACGTTTTTTTAGTTATTGCCCTTGACTTAGGAAAAACGCGTCAAAATTTGACTACAGTTTTCAACTGATTTTTATACGCCCACATGAAATGGGGGGCGTATATTGCCGTCACTTCTTTCCGTCGGTCCGTCCATTCGTCGGTCCGTCCACAATTGCTCGTAAACACTCTACAAGGCAGAATTCTTGACTGATTTCGACGAAGCTTGGTATGGTTGTTTGTAATCACCCAAGGATGAACACTATTGAAAATCAGACGAATCGAAAAATATTTACTATGAGTTATGCCCTTGTTCTTGAAACGCTCGTAAACACTCTAGAAGGTGCAATTCATGACGGATGTTGATGAAACTCAAAAATCGGAAAAATTGAAAAATATTTTATATGAGTTATTGCCCTTGTTCTCGAAAACGCGTTCAATTTTAGCTTGTAAACACTCTAGAATGCACAATTCTTGATGGATTTTGACGAAACTTGGCTTGAGTGTTGGTTATCACCCAAGAATCAACCATATTGAAAATCAGAAGAATCTAAAAATACTTAGAATGAGTTATTGCCCTTATTCTTGAAAACGCGTTCAATTTTTAGCTTGTAAACACTCTAGAAGGCACAATTCTTGACGGATTTTAACGAAATTTGGCTTGAGTGTTTGTTATCAACCATGGATAAAGCCTATTGAAAATGAGAAAAATCGAAAAAATATTTAGTATGAGTTATTGCCCTTGATCTTGAAAACTCGTTCAATTTGTAGCTCATAAAAACTCTAGAAGGCATGATTCTTGCCGAATTTTGACAAAACTTGGTTTTATTATTCATTATTGCGCTGAAGATTGAATATTTGCCTTCTAGAGTTTTCACGAGCTACAGATTTTCAAAAACTAGGGCAATAACTCATACTCAATATTATTCAGTATCGTCCTAAAGAGTTCAAAAGAAGTGTATGACTGAAGGTTGAATATTTCATACTTGTGATTGTTACTGTACTGCTAAATATTTATGTTCAAAATCAAAGCTGCCTGTCGGCGTATATTACCTTGCCTGGCAAGCTATCTTAATGAAATTTGGTATGATCATTTATACTGATGAGTTCTTGGTCAAGTTTAAATTTGATGATTTTTCGATGAACGGTTTTTGAGTTATTGCCCTTGACTTAGGAAACATGCGTCAAAATTTGTTTGTGAATACAACAGAGACTACAGTTTTCATCTGATTTTAATGAAATTTTGCGTGAACATTTATATTGATGAGATCTTGGACGAATTTGATGATATTTTTCGATGAAAGGCTTGACTTAAGAAAAACGCGTCAAAATTTGTTTTGTGAACACATTAGAGACTACAATTTTCAACTGATTTTAATGAAATTTGGTGTGATCATTTATATTGATGGGATAATTTGATGTATTTGGGCTATTGATATTGATTTTTAAAAATTTGGTGATATTTCTCAGCATGAATAACTGTCAGTAAATATATATATCATTGAATTCGAACTAATAAAATCTCTTTAATATCACTAATCACTAATGACTGTTTTATCATTTCTGCCAGCTGCCAGTGGGCGTATGTTACCTTGCCTGGCAAGCTATCTTAAAGGGATACTACGTCTTGGAATAAACATAAAATTTAAAAATTTT